GTCTCCCTCCGTCCCCTTCACTCACTCTGATGCATGTCTCCCTCCGTCCCCTTCACTCACTCTGATGCATGTCTCCCTCCGTCCCCTTCACTCACCCTGATGCATGTCTCCCTCCATCCCCCCCTTCACTCACCCTGATGCATGTCTCCCTCCGTCCCCTTCCCTCTCTCCCCATGGCCTCCACCCTTCCCACACACCACAACCTTCCCAATAGTTGCCGGCCTCCCTGTTGTCCATTCTGCCCCCTTGGGCTCACCCTCCATCCCACAACAGAGAGGTGGATCCTTTCATGCCCTGGTTTACGTAACTCCTAATCTTCAGGATTAAGTCTGTAACCTCCCTGCATCTCCAGGGCCATCATCCGTGGCCTCCACAGTGTCTCTGTCTCACCATTCCCCAGTCACCCGCTCCCTTCTTCCAGCTGCACCCACTTGCTCTCCTTTCTTCAAATTCACCTTGCTAGCCTTACCCTGGTATTTCAGCATGTGTTTTTCTTTGCCTGTTTTTAGAGACAGAGTCTCCCTCTGTGGTCCAGGCTGGGGTGCAGTGGCACAATCTTGGCTCACTACAACCTCTGCCTCCCAGGTTCAAGTGACTCTCGTGCCTCAGCCTCCCAAGTAGCTGGGACTACAGGTGTGCACCACCACACCCAGCTAATTTTTCTATTTTCATTTTAGTAGAGACAGGGTTTCACCATGTTGGCCAGGCTGGTCTCCAACTCCTGACCTCGAGTGATCTGCCCACCTTGGCCTCCCAAAGAGCCGGGATTACAGGTGTAAGCCACCGTGCCCGGCCTGTTTTTGTTTTAGAAAAAGGATCTGGCTCTTTCACTCAAGCTGGAGTGTAGTGGTGCGACCTTGGCTGACTGCAGCCCCAAACTCCTGGGCTCGAGTGATCCTCCCGCCTCAGCATCCTGATCCGGCACGTGCTGTTCCCCTCGCTGGCCTACTCTTTCCTCTACCACCAGCCCAACTCCTACTCACCCTGCAGGTCTCCCCCCTGCCCTTGCTGACTGTCAGACAGCTCTGGTGAAGACCTTTCCCTGGAAGCCCCAGCAGTTGGGCCCAGGTCACACTGGGGTGACTAATGTAGGGGCACTCGGGACGGCAAGGACAGTGCCCCTGACTGGCCCCTTCTGCAGCGTGGCCATCCTCTCCTACCTGTGTCGCAAGTACAGCGCACCATTACACTGGTACCCACCAGACCTGCACACGCGTGCCCGTGTGGAGGAGTTCATGGCTTGGCAACACACGGCCTTTCAGCTGCCCATGAAGAGGATAGTCTGGCTGAAGGTGAGCAGGGTCACTTGTGTGGGGCTTCGGGACAAGGGGACATGGGAGTCAGGAAGGCTGGAGACCACTTCCGGCCCTGCTGACTGCTGGTGAACTCAAGTAAGTCTCCCTCCCTCTCTGGGCCTCATTTCCTCAGCTCCTTCTCTCACCTGCCAAACAGAGCTGTCAGGACTGTGGACTGAAGCAGTGGGTATGAGAGAGTCTTACTAGGGCAAGGGAAGGGCGTACAGGAGGGGCTGATGTTACTCACCGCAAGACAGCATTCCAGGCTTTCCATTCTGAACGAGAAAATCTCAGAGTCAAAGGGCCCACAGAAGGCCAGGTGTGGTGGCTCACGACTGTAATCCCAGTAGTTTGGGAGGCCAAAGTGGGTGAATCACTTGAGGTCAGGAGTTCAAGACTAGCCTAGCCGACCTGGTAAAACCCGTCTCTACCAAAAATACAAAAAAAATTAGCCAGGTGTGGTGTCGTGCACCTGTAATCCCAGTTACTCGGGAGGCTGAGGTAGCAGAATCACTTGAACTTGGGAGGTAAAGTTGGCAGTGAGCCAAGATCGGGCCACTGCACTCCAGCCTGGGCAACAGAGTGAGACTCCATCTCAAAATGAGAGAGAGAGAAAGAGAGAGAGAGAGAAAGTCTATAGATAATTTGAAAATGACAACCAGTACATGTGTCCCTACTTTTAATTGTATGCCTGTGACAGGCATCACCTAATCAATCATCACAGGATTTATGCCTGATGAGCTAACCAAATCATTGTGAACACATGGTAACTTCCGGCAATCAGAACTTCCACCAATCAGAACTGTTAAAAGAGGTGAAACTACTTTATGTCCTGGGAACTGTCCAATAGCTATCGAGCAGACAAGAGTACAGAGCCCTGGCAGGGCAGGTGGCCCAGGAGTGCAGCCTCCTCTTCCCTCCTCTTCCCAACTCTGGCCAGTTGCTGATCCCAAAGATAACAGGGGAGGAAGTTTCAGCTGAGAAGATCGATCATGCAGTGGCGGAGGTGAAGAACAGCCTGCAGCTCTTCGAGGAGTATTTTCTACAGGACAAGATGTTCATCACTGGGGACCAAATCTCACTGGCTGACTTGGTGGCTGTGGTGGAGATGATGCAGGTGTGGGGAGGGGTGGAGGAGGGTTAGACCTTGGGCAGAGGTGGAACTCCTCTGTGACCAGCTGGGCCATCACTTGAAGATAGGCTGGTGAAGTGGGAAAGGCAGATGGAGCTGCCTTGGGGGCTGTGGGAGCCAGGTCTGGGTGCCCGGTCTAGGTGACCGGATTCAATGTGTGGGCAACAGGAAGCACAGAATGTTATGAAACGGGAGGGATCACAGTTCTCCATGCTTGACAAAGATTCTTCAGTGTGGGAGGAGCTGGAGGGTGAGCCTGAGATAGGGAAAAGAACACTGCATTTCCTGGTCAATCCACCAGCATCCCCGATGCCTCCTCCTCTTGTTGGACTCCCCGGGAAATGTTCACTGGCTTCCTGGGTGTCCTTCTGGCCCTGCCTGTTTCCCAGAGCTCCAGACAGACAGCTGTGAAGGACAGCTCTCCTGGCTGGGTCTGAGCCACATCCACTGTGCGTCTGGAGACACACCTGGGTGTGGGGCATTTATGTGGCCTCTACGTGCAGGGGAGGGTGACCAGTTCTGCCTCTCAAGACACTGGCCAGGGTCTACACTCGCCATCCTGCACACCAGCTAGGGCACTGCACACTCACCAAAGAGAGTGGCCAGAGCTATGCCCAGGAGGAGGCATCCGGGATCCTGGTGGATTGGCCAGGAGACGCAGTGTTCTTTTCCCTATCCCAGAGATCTCTGACTGATAAGCAATTAGTCTCTTCGATCTGTTTGCAGTGCAGACCAGCATGAGAAAAACTCACTCTGGCCTCCCCCAAGGGTTCAGTCATAGGCTTCATCTCCCACCCCTTACATTTCACCACCACCTCACCCCTCTTGGGCTTCCCAAAGATCTTGCGTGCAAGCTAAGCTACGGGGTAGACTGCCTTAGTGAGCCAGCCAAACTGCAGGGCAGACTGCCCGCCAGGTCTCCCATTCTAGCCCCTGTGCTTGATCACAGTGGGAGGTTAAACATGGGAAAAAAACTGAGTTCTCCCCCTCATCCACATATACACACCTGGGATAAGGGGTTTCCCTGAAAGAAGGCAGGATTCATGGGAGGTCGCAGGCTGGAGAAGTGGGAGCTGCCTGGGCCAGGAGCCCTCTCAGTGTGGTTCAGAACTTGGAGCGAGAAGACCAGTGACCAAGGACCCTGGGGGATTCTGGATCCTCTATCCCCACCTACATCTATTACATAGTCTGTGACCCCTTGCTCAGGCTTGGGGAACAGCAGCCTAATTCTTTGCAGAGGCTGATGGGGAGGGCCCCTGAGGCTGTGGGCAAGGACCCAGGTGCGCTGGTCCCCAGGATGACCACATCTTTCTCTTTGTCTATACACAGCCCATGGCAGCCAACTATAATGCCTTCCTCAACAGCTCTAAGCTAGCTGAATGGTTCATGCGGGTGGAGCTGAGTATCGGCTCTGGCCTCTTTAGGGAGGCCCACAATCGACTAATGCAGCTGGCTGACTGGGACTTTTCAACATTGGATCCAGTGGTCAAGGAGAAAATTTCTGAGTTGCTGAAGAAGAGCAAGTGACCCTAGGCGCAGCCCGTCCTGCAGGGCCTGGCTGGCTCAGCTCTCTGAGCCACGTTCCTTAAAGGAAATGCTAAAAAAAAACCAAAACAAAACCCTGTTCTTTGCCTAATAAAGAACTGGAACAACCATCACAGCTGCTGAGCAACAGACAGTTGGCGTGTGTGTTGGGTCTGATGTGGAAGCGGGTGGTGGTCACAGATCCTTCCAGTTTCCCAAAAGAATTTTAAGAGTAAAGGGTTAAATATAGTTACGTTGTCAGTAATAATAGTTGGTGACTTCAAAACCCCACTTTCATTAATAGAAAAACTACAGAAGATCATCAAGGAAATAGAGGACTTGAAAAACACTATAAACCAACTGTGCACAGTAGACATGAACAGAACTTTCCACCGACAAGAGCAGAACAAGCATTCTTCTAAAGAGCATGTGGAATATTCTCCAGTATAGAGCGTATATTTAGTCATAAGTCTCAAATTTAATAAGATTGAAATCATACAAAGTATGTTCTCTGGACACACTGGAGTAAAGTTAAAAATCAAGAACAGAAGGAAAACTAGAAAATTCGCAAGCATATAGAAATTAAAGATCCCACTCTTAAACAAAAAATGGGTCAAAGAAGAAATCACAAGGGACATTAGAAAGTATCTTAAACAAATAAAAATGAAAACACAACATGCCAAAATTTATAGGATGCAGCAGCAGCAGTGCTAAGAGCAAAATTTATATCTGTAAGCATATAAATTAAAAAAGAGCAACCTCGAATCAATAACCTAACCTTATACCTTAAGGAACTAGAAAAATAAGAGCAAACTAAACCCACCACCAGTAGAAGAAAGGAAATAATAAAGATTAGAATGGAGGTAAATGAAAAAGGGAATAGAGAAACAATAGAGAAAATAAAAAATTGGATCTTTGAAAAGATCAACGAAATTGATTAGAATAGCTAAGCGAAAAAAATAAGGCTCAAATTATTCACCAAGAGAGAAAGTGGAGGCTGGGTGCAGTGACTCATACCTGTAATCCCAGCACTTGGGGAAGCCGAGGCAGGAGGATCACTTGAGGTCAGGAGATTGAGAACAGCCTGGGTAACACAGGGAGACTTTTTATACAAAAAAAAAATTTTTTTTTTAGTTAGCTGGGTGTGGTGGTGCATGCCTGTAGTCCTAACTGGGTGGCTGAGGTGGAAGGATCACTTGAGTCCAGGGGTTCAAGGTTACATTGAGATATGATTGCGCCACTGCACTCCAGCCTGGGCGACGGCATGACCCTGTCTCAAAAAAAAGAATGTGAGATACCACAGGGAGGGTGTGGCCCTGGGGTAGGGGCTGGGAGACTGGAGAGCAGCTGTTAGTGGTCTCATCGCTGCCCAGAGCAGGCAATGCCCTGTCCACCCTCATGAGCTCCTTGGACTCCTTGGACAGGACTGGCTACACATGAAAATGTGGGGACCCTTATTTTGAAATT